TGCGTGAAGATTTGTAATATGGTGCCCCGAGATATCTACCATGTTTTCTTTCACCACTAAACGTGAGTTAGAGTGGTTTCTTCCCCTCCATTCGAAGTCAATATTTCCTAGGTACATTCCTCTATCATATCATCACAATCATCGTCCTTCCCTACGCCTACAATCTTCTCCAATTTCAAGTCCTCAATCCACACTCTCCAAAAGATCCTCGACCTCCTGACTTACATTCCTCTCACAGATCTGCCTCGCTCCAAAACTCCTTTATGCTCCGCTCTGTTAATTTTTGGAATTGCCTTCCTACTCAAAATGCGACATTCTTTATCCCTATCTACGTTTATTCTTCATCCCTCTATTCCAATTCCTGTTCCAAAAACAGTCAACATGCGCCAGCTAACTTTTATGTACAAATTACATATTTTGTTTATTTTTTTATTTATATTTTTTTCAACAAGAAAACAGATTTTACTGTTTAAGAAGAATTTACATTTAATTTTTTTTGTATTTTTTTCTATAAGTGTTATTTATATTTACCATTGAACATATTTTAAGTATCTTAGTATGGTATCGAGAGTTTGTATATAAATTATTTTATTTTATTTGTATATATATATATAATATATAAATATATAAGTATATATATAACACTAATATTTTTTTTTCCTATTTCATTCTTTATCTTTACTTTTTAGTTTGTTTTTATCTGGCCAGATGTAAAGTTTTAATTTCTGTACTTTTTTGTTATTCTGAAGGGACTTCGTCCCAGAATAAAATTATTTTCTATTCTATTCTATTCTATTCTAACCACTATCCTTGAAAAAAGTATTGAAAGATTTGAGAGAAAAATGCTTCGCACGATAACATGAGCGATCTGGGATCAGGGTACTACCACATAGAGGAAAAAAAACAACTTAAATTACGACCATTGTTTATATTAACTTTTTTGTGGCTCTTGATGTCTATTATTATCAGCTTAAATATTTCTCTCTACTTACAGGACATCCTGTATATAGTGTAAATTAAATATGCTTTATAAATAACATATTTACTATCGCCCTCACATTAAACTGAAGATAACTAACAGATTTTTAGAGCAGAAAGTACTAGCCAAAGTTAGACTTTCCTCTTTGCCTGCACTTACTAGTATAAACTGATTCCCAAGATGACGGGTTTTGCTTAGCATCGACCTCTTCAAGGCTAGGTAACTGTTCGTGTTTTTATATCGTATAATATATATAAAATAAATTAAAATTAGTTTTCCTTATTCCTATATATTTTATTTTTTATTTTTATCGTAAACTCACTCATCGTGCAAGTTCAAATTATTCGCGTTTATCTATCGTTTAACCACATTCCGATGACATTTTTGGTTTATTATTTTCAATAATGAACCATTATAATCGAGAAAAAAAATTCAAAAACTTAATCAACTCTCAAAATTTGAAGGCTTACGTTTCAGGATACGTAGAATTCGAAAAATGAATAATTTTTTTTGTCCGTACGCCGTCTATCGTCCAGCGTCATCATTTCTCCGAAACTACTGGACCGATTTTTTTCAAATTTGGATCTAAAAATCAGAGGTTACCCGAGGATGATCCTCCGTCGACATTACTATTCGCCTTTTCCTTTGAAAATGGAGGCAGAAAACCCTTCGTTGCTATAGACTGTAGCGCCTAAACAAATGTACTGATTTCAATGAAAGTTGGCTAAAGTTTTCTTCTTCATGACGATTATATATATCAATGTATCATACTTCGACAAAAAGAAGCTGGAAAAAAAGTTAGGAGGGATGGTAAAATTAGATTCCGAATAACTCAAAAAGTATACACTTTGTTGATATTGCAATATGATGTTTCAAAGGTATTTAAATTTCTTAAAAAACGAAGAAAGTTTCATCGAAATCAGAGCACTATTAGTGAAGATATCGCGATTTTTAAATATTTTTGGTTTTTTAAACCTTAACGAAATTTCCTAAAAAAAAAAAAAATCATTAAAATCGAATTATTAGGAACAAAGATATGGTCTCTAGATGTATTTTATGTTCTACTGCGAACCCTTTGTTTCGGATTTTGATTTTTTTAATGTGTTACTGAAGTAATGCCAATTTTTGTTTTTAGCAAATTACTAATGCTGAAAAAAAGTGTTCAGGCGAAAATTAGCATTAATTTTTTATTTCTTTTAATTTTTCACTAGTGTTTTTTTTTTTTTTTTTCCTTAGTTTTAATTTTCTTATTTTTTAGGTTATTTTATTTTATTGTCTATTGTATATACTTTTGATTATTATTTTGTTCTATTTATTTTATTTTTTTGTACATATGGTGTGAATGTCATCCTACCTCACTATAACCAATGTCCAACAGACAGATTGTTATAATACTCAATAAAGAAATTAAAAAAAAAAAAAAAATTTCACTAGATAGGTAATTTTACTTTAGATGTATAATCGGTGTGAATGTGTTCATTTATCAATATAATTATTGTCCCTGTGACAGAATATTATGTCTAAATAAATAAAAAGATGTATAATAGTTGGGAAATAATAAACTTGAAATAACGTGAAATAATTTGCAGCGTTTTTTCTTCTATATTGGAACTTTACATGAGAAAATTATACATGATCCATGCGATGGGACCGAAATATGCAATTATTATATCGTTATGAATATATCATAAACTATTACCTAAGATGTTTGTATTACTAGAAATACATTCTTTCTTTTTTCTGCTTTAAAAGATAATGGTAAGTGATCTGAAATCATCATCATTGATTGGCCATTAACTTAGCATCTTTCGTGATTATTATTTAAAAAAATAAAATAAAGTGATGAGAGAGAGAGCTTGAAATAGTTATAAGAGAGGTTTTCTTAATCCTAGTTTCTTAATAATGATCGACATTAAGACACTACTTGCTTTAAAGAATTAAAGCCATGGTCATTACAATTTTTTTTTGTCACTTTTAATTTTAAATTTTCCCGACTCCTGTTCGATACCCTTAGAAACAGAAAAAAATTCAATAAATTCGGGAGAAAACGATGTAAATTGTTCCATATAGTTGGTAATAAGAATATAAACCTATTTCCAAAAGTTTGAAGCTGTATATTAGGTAGAAATGAAAGAGTTTATTTATTTCAAATAATTTAAAGTTAAAGAATATATGACTAAATATTTTAGCATAAATAGCATCTTGAGTGCTGTAAGTAAAGGAGATGAGACATCTTTTAAATAAAGGCATTATCTTTTAGATGACTTGGAACTTCAAAAATCCTTATTAAAAAAAAGATCTTTTCCAATCTTGTCATTGATTGCCGAATTATTGTAAACTTGAAAGTACTAAAACTTCTAATTCACACAATTACTTAAATCGTAAATAATACTGAATCATTTTCTCCTGTCAGTAATTTGTCATGATTAAATAAATTATCTACTTATTCTTTGGTAAAATTAGGCAATAACACAGTCATGAGTAGTTGTAATATAAAAGCAATTTAGTTTAGAAATTACAATGGCATTCTTGAGAGTAAAATTTATAACTTATCTTTCTTAATTATATTGGTACTTTCAATCATGTATTAAGATTCTAAGATTGGGAAATCATCAAAGTTTTTATTCAAAATTAGTAATATTTTAAAGATTGCGAAATTATAAGAGTTAATATAAATAATTACAAATTATTAAGGTTTAATCTTTTTTTGATTATAAATATAATATTTTGTTGTTTATATTTCAGTATATCAGATCTCTTATTAGTCCGTGGTACAAACATCTTGTTCTCAAAATTATTAACATTTTTATAAGATTAATTATTAAACTTCGTAAATAGTTTCACCTCATTATAACCTACTACAATTTTATTTACGAAAACTTGGAATTTTGGGGCGTTTTCAGTCTGAAGGGGGACAAATTCTGTCTATTTAATTAGGTACTAAAAATAAAAAAACTCGTAAATATGCATTTTCTTTCCACTAATCGTAAGATAATTAGATCACATAATCGATAACAAAGGTGGTCTGCAAAAATATTGGGCCGTTTGGCCTATTAGACCTCGTTTATTTTCACATTTTGGGGGTGTTGGTCACCACAAACGGCTCAATATTTATGAAGGCCACTTTTTTCTCGAGTTTGTGCCCAAATTATCTTACGATTCAAGTGGAAAGCAAATGGTTAGTTACGAGTTTTTTACTAACGGTAAACCGTTCTCTAAATTTTCGTTAAAAAAATATTTCTAGGTTTCGAAGAGATATAGCTATTTACGAAGATAATTAGTTCACATAATCAATTACAAACATGGCCTACAAAAATATTGGGCCGTTTGGCGTTTTTAGCATCGTTATTTTGACAATTTGGGGATGTAAGTCACGCTAAATGGCTTAATATTTTTGAAGGCCACTTTTTTTCTCGAGTTTGATCTTAAATTATCTTAAGATTCAAGTGAAAGCAAATAGGTACTTTCGAATTTTTACTACTTAATTAAACTGACAAAGTTTGCCGAACTCCGGATTAAAAACGTCCCAATCCCGAGAATTTTCATAAATAAAATATTAGTACTTTCCGAATAGATGAAGCTATTTGCGAAGTTTCAGGTGGATGCTAATAATTCGATAAAAAATTGTCTATACCACGGACTATGTATCCAACAACCCCAATTAACAATTTAACTACTAATTATTTCAGATAAAATATTTATTGCTTCTTCGTCTACAAAAATATTCTAAAATAAATTAAATATTATTTCTCCCCTTCAGAAGATATAATAACCATAGATGGGCAGGTAACTAATAATATATAGATAAGTTTTAATTAACAAATATTATATAAAAGATAGACAAAGCAGGTTATAACAATATATAGATGCACTGTGAAAATTAAATAACTAATGCTTTAACTATCTTGCAATTTTTTAAAAAGTTTATTTTCAAACCAGTGATTTCCTTTCTTCAGTTTTGTAATCCGAAGGAATTATATCAAGATCATAAACCAATATCTGATTTGAATACATCGCATATCTTTCAAGTTGATAAAGCACACTTCTTTCCTACCTCCCTTATCAGCTCTAGTATATACCAATATATACTTTGTTGGCTTCAGTAGTGATAGGTGAATGGGACTCCAATGAATATGAAAATCTACGAAATACTGTTATTTGTTGTAAGCATACATATATACATTTTTAAGTTTATTTGTATACAAAAAAATACATCTAGTAAATTTGCACATTGGTATAAAGACATGGAACACATGTTGAGAAACTACCCATTGGTAGCACTCTAATAATATGTCTATATTAGAAGATCACGTGGCCATCTTCTTTTCAGACGCCTCGGAGGGTTATCAGGAATCGAATAGGAAGCAAGGTTAGAGACAAGAGGGTTGGGATGGTTATGAAGTTTATTATGGAAGGACAGATATCTGGATTGGGCCAAATCTGATACATAAGGAACATTAAGGTCATTATGGATAATTTTATTTGTAACAAAGTAAGGAGCATTGAGGATTTTACGAAGGATTTTGGATTGCAAGGACTGTATGCGAGAGGAATTTGAAGGCTTGGTGGAGCCCCATAGCTCAACCCCGTAAGTCCAAATAGGCCTTATTATAGTCATGTAAATCAGTCTTTTATAATTGATTGGAAGGTTAGAGCGTTTGTCTAGTAAGTGTTGAAGTAGTCGGAAACGTCGAGCGGTTTCTTGTCGTTTCAGTCTGGTATGAGGATTCCAAGTTAGACGTTTGTCCAGATGGAGTCCTAGGTAACGGATTTGTTCAACAGGAATAAGTGAGGTGTTGTTAAAGGATACTGAAGGACAGGAAGTCATTGGTTTACGACGAAGGGTGAAGGTAATTTGATGGGATTTATTGGAATTTATTTTAATTCTCCAGTTCTGACACCATTCTTCAAGGTTTGTGATGTGGGATTGAAGGGTTTGGGATGCAATAGATGGGTCGTTATTGACTGATAGGATACATGTGTCATCAGCATATGTGGTGATGACAGTGTTGGGATGGGTTGGGATGTCAGCTGTATAAACTGTGTAAAGGATAGGACCTAGGATACTACCTTGAGGAACACCTGCAGACTGGGAAAAACGGGATGTATATACATTGTTGTGATTTACTTTAAAGTATCTATCAGTAAGGTAGGAACGGATAATGAGGAAGTAGGTAGATGGTAGGAATTTTCGGAGTTTGTACAGCAGTCCCGGGTGCCAAACTCTATCAAACGCCTGTTCAACATCGAGAAAGGCTCCCGTACAGTACATACCGCGCTCCAATGCAGAGGATACTACGTCTACCACACGATGGCATTGCTGTATAGTGGAATGGGAGGAGCGGAATCCAAATTGGTGATCTGGGATTATGTGATTAGAATCTAGGATTGGGTACAGGCGTTTTAAGATTAGTTTTTCCAGGATTTTTCCCATGATGGGTAACAGAGAGATGGGACGGTAAGAGGATGGATATTCTGGTGGCTTTTTGGGTTTGTGGATCATTTTGACAATAGATATTTTCCAAGGATCAGGGATATTTAAACTTAATTTACTAATTGATAAACATAATTGATTAACTGTAATAAGAAAGTCATAGATTTTTGCTAATCAACACAATATATTTAATAACAATAAACATTTGAGAAAATTGTCTTATTCAGATGTTATTTCGATTGTTGATAAAATTAAATAAATAAAATAAAATCATACGGGTTGTTCTGCTCCTACATCTATATATTTATTTTGTGTTGACTCTACCCCTGAGCATTAGCATTTCTTATACTTCTAAACCCGATGGTAAAACATGATTGTTTTTAAGAATTTCATAAATGATTTCATGCCAGTTTCCGAGTCCTCAAGTATTTCTGGATGGCGACCACGTATCCACCTGTGTTTTAATCTTTAATGTCTTTGGTTCTGTGCCTAATCTTCTGATTTTTGAAGTGGCAACCTATTTAGGAGCGTTTTGAACTTTTTTTGTAGAGAGTGAGTTAGATTGGCCCGTCAGATCTCCGATGTGTAACGCTCGGGTAAAGTCGGCTTAAGTCGAATACGGATTAATAAAATATCTCAAAAACTAAACATCGGACTTGCATATTGTCGGCGAGGGAAATGTTAATCATTACACCCTTCTTGTATTGAGCCATTATTCAAAATTGTATCTTAACGCGAGGCCGTGTTTGAGGGACAAAAATGGAAAAAAAAAAAAAAAAAGTGTTTTGAAGATATGGATTAAAATATCTCTGAAAATTAAAATCGGACCTGTATACTGTAAGCGAGGGAAATATTCATCATTTCATCCTCTTTGTAATGAGCTATTATTCAAACTTGTATTTTATCTTAATGCCGTGTTAGAGAGGCTAAAAGGGAAAATATAGTGTCGCAATCCAAATAATAACGAGTTTACTGTAAGCGAGGAAAATGTTCAGCATTTCATCCTTTTTATAATAAGCTATTATTTATAATTTATACTTCATATTATTAATCTCGCCTTGTTTTTACTTATATCGTATATTCTAAAGCGCACTCCTTAGTTTTTTTTATCCTATCGCTTAATTTTATATCCAATATGTTTCTCTCAATTTTTCTCGGCAACTTGAAGTCTATTTATGTACTTGTTTGTAAGGGACCATGATTGGACTCTACAAGTGAGACTTTGCATAATTTAACGTTAAACAGACTCACATTCGTTACTACATGGTAATGATGACTTGCTTCGAGAACTTTAGTGGGCGGGGTGGCCGAATGGGCTAACGCGTGTGCACAGCACCACCGTTGCCCGGCAACCTGATATATGACAAATGTTATAAAAATTTGTCATGATTTCGATTCCCGGTGCCGAGGTGTCTTAAATTCCCGCCCACACCCCCTGGCCCGACAAAACCCCGTATAGCCTTAACGGCGAGGAAGGGGAGGACCCAAAAAAAAAAAAAAAAAATGTTTCGAGAACTTTGCTGTTTAAATGTATTGGTAAATTTCCTTTCATAATGAATTGTAAGTACCAATATTATTCCATGGGATTGCCGTTCGCCTATCTGTTTCACAAGCTAAGCATGATTTTCTAATCACAAAAGAAAAATCAAATATTATGAAATCATTTATTATTCTCTTTTCGCATAACCCCACTAACGCCAAATATTTGGCATATTTTAGTAATACGGTAATAAAGATCATGGAAATACTTCTGAATCTGACGTTGTCAAGCCCTAGCTTCGTTTCAGATGACTGGATTTCCGTTGTAGAAGTGCTCGAGTGTATAGAATTTCTTTTATTGAATTATTGTAATTTATAAACAAAATAATGCAATGATTAAACTAAAGTTTATTGAAGTTAGACCTAGACTGAAATGGAGAATTATAAAATGTTGAAATTATTTATTACAGGTTGGATGCTGTGGTGTTCGATGGGTACCGATGAGCCTTATAGTCAACAATAAATCAATATCTCCAGATAATAATCCACTTCAGAAAATTACTGATAATCAGAAGTACAGGAATAAGGTCGTTTTAGGTGAACGTACTATTACAAACAACACAACTGCTCCTGTTCAAATGGGGATGGTTGATAACGCAAATGGATTGGGCTTAGTAACTAGAGTTCCTATTGAACCTTGGAATGGTACAACACCAAACATTTCTGAAACGGAAGAAACTGCGATTATAAAAAAAACGGATGAACTTAAACGAACACTCCTTGGGCAAAAATACGTAAAGAACCTCTCATTGGGCGGAGTAGATTCTAGTAGATCCGGAAGTGATGAAGAAACGAACCCAAAAAGGAATGCCATCAGAACCCCTACACGCACCACAACAATCGCTGTAGCTGCACTTACCGAAGCAACCCCTACGAATATAGCTCGTAATGAAACGACCTCAAACAATAATAACACCGAAAATTATGAAAACAATAATAAAACTGCACCTATGGAAAAAATCCACAAGGATCAAGTACCACCTTTGATGATCGTGGACTATAAGAGTACGGCCGGGATAATTAGCGGTAATTTTCGAAATAAAAATGAAAAAGAAGGAACCCCTACAAGCACCACACCAGTCGCTGTAGCTGCACTTACCGAAGCAACCCCTACGAATATAGCTCGTAATGAAACGACCTCAAACAATTATAACACCGAAAATTATGAAAACAATGATAAAACCGCACCTATGGATAAAATACAAAAGGATCAAGCACCACCTTTGATGATCGTGGACGATCCGAATATGGCCGGGAAAGTCAGCGGTGAACTTGGAACTGAAAATGAAAAAGATGGAGCTCCTACAAGTTCCGAAAATAGAAACTCTTCGGATACCAAAACAAATTCTACAATTCTGCCACAATGGACCACAAAACCTACCAATCTACAGACCACAGAGACTCATTCTCCTCAATTTGCCTACGTAATACACGTAGTAAACGGAACCACTCGGACGAGACTGTGTCGTGTAGGTCGTCGACGGAAATGGTAAATTTAAATTTAAATTTAAAAGTATAGAGTTATATCACTATCTAATATTTGAGCAAAAAAACGCTAAAATTATCGCACAATGGTTCTTTGTTTCCAGTTATATATTATATGCCATATGTTAACAGTTATATATCATATGTAACATTACTTTGCTTGTCATATAGAAGAAAATAAATAAAAGATGGTTCCTTATATTGGTCTATATATATTTTTCTTATTCTATTTCTTTTCCTGAATAAAAATTTGCAAAAAAAAAAAAAAAAAAACTATTGCTTCAGATATTGTAAGACCCAAAAAATAAAACTCGTGTTCTTCAGACCACACGAAACAAGCGAAAACATCAACAAGGCGATGAAATGCTGAACATTTCCCTCGCTTACAGTATGCAGGTCCGATTTTTAGTTTCTGAGATATTTTAATCTACATATTCAATAAAACTTGTTATTATTTGGTTTTCGACAGTATTTTTTCCTTTGTAGCTTCTCTAGACGGCGTCGCGTTGAGATACAATTTTGAATAATTGCTCAGTATAAAGAGGATGAAATAATGAACATTTCTCTTACTAACAATCTGTATGTCCGAATTTTAGTTTTTGAGATATTTCAACCCATATGCAAAAACACTTCAATTAATCGACTTTATTCCCATCATTAGACATCGGAGATCTGACGACTTAATCTAATTCACTCTCCACAGATAACAAAGGTAACAAACAGATAACAGCTTTGCAGCAGAACGTGTGAAGAAAAAAACACCTGCCAAGCTAGGTCAGTATATAGCTTCCTCACCGTTTTCCTCAACTGAAAAATATCTATATTAAAAAATCTAAGATTTGTCTTATAAGAAGAAAATCTCTTAGAAAGGCCGTTTTCGGAAATTCAGTAATTCCTCAACATATACAGGCTTGATATCCACGAGTATTGTTGACCAGAAAATACTAAAATGCGAATGAGTTCCGCATTTGCTAATTGCATGTATGATAACTAGTGATTAAAAAAAAAAAAAATCCAGTGCATACTGAATACGTATATCGCTAATTTTAGTGCAAAAGGACGTATGTAAAAATTACATCAAGTTTAAAGAGATATTTTTCCAAAACACTCACAGGATCTCATCGAATAATTTGAGCCATCAAATTTAAAAATCGATCCAGCCGTTCGCTCAAAACAGCGTTGCAGATCTTTTTCAAAACTGATTAAACACGTTTTATTTAATAACTGGCCAGTATTTTTAGCTCAAATTGTTTCAAAACACTCTGGATATCTCATCAAATAATTTGAGCCATACAAATTAAAAATCGATCCAGCCGCGTTCGCACAAATACCGCTACTTTTAGCGGACAATCCAAACACAACACCCTCGTTTCGGTTCTCTTAGTCGGATAAAAATTAATATATGAAACTCGAACATTAAATTTAAAAAAAAAAAAATCATCGGTATTTTAGAAGTTATGAAGCATTGAAAAAAAAAAGAAAAGAAAAACCTGTTCCACTACAACCCATGAAGGGTCTTGGGTTCAGTACTATTTGGGGAAAGCACTGTTCCTTGGTCTACCGTATTTGATCAAGATCACGCCCAACCGCCAGGTTGTTCCCCTTAATTAATTATTTAACCAAGGGTACCCACTTTATAGAGGCTGGGTGTGCCCCAGGAGGGTCTACTTACCCAGGTTCGCCCCACAGCCAATGAAACAGAATAAATAATGTTTCTTCTATGAACCGGGATTCGAACCTGGAACCTTTAGCACTAGAAGCTCACTGAGCTACCCCACTCCCGTATTGAAAAAATTGACCCAAATTTCACATATTTTCTGGGCTTATATTTTGTTTTCTGATTCCTCCAGTTACAGATTTTTTTTTTCTGATAGTTCTTTAAATTCACTGTTCTGTTGCAGTTTGGCACATACTAATGAATGGGCCAATAGAATGATGAATTATTAAAGTTGTGGGAAACCTGAGATGATCAGATGACCTTTGTGGTCATCTGATGGCAAGTCATTAAACATTCCGTAAAAATAAAACAGACGATATAACAGACGAAATTCAACTTAGCATCTTACTATATAGTTATTACTTTCCTTGTAGTAATTATATTTTGTTTTGTTTTTTAAAATAAATTAGAGCCATTTTCGACTTTTAAATATATACCGGTAAATGCTGACTGAAAATAGGTTCCCATTACATTTAGATTGCAAACTTTAATTTACTGTCAGTTGTTATTAAAGTGATGAAGTATTGATGATGTTGTTCCTTAGCCTTGAAGATAACACAAATCATGTTAAAACGATAGTATACCTAATACCTTTTCTGGCTCTCGCGATGGATTTTGATGGATGAGATATTAAACGAAATGGTATTTCATGGAGAAGTAAGAAATTCCAACTTCGATCCCTTAGTACAACTTTATTTTAAATCGTTGAGGTTCAAAACTCTGACGTTATTAAGTCGATGGAATAGTGTTTCTCAAGATCGCTTTTGGTCTTGCACTTTTGCAAGACCAAGACTGGACCCTGCAAGATTTGAAGTAGAATAAGACACCTGCGATGCTCTTGCGTCTTGCATTCAAGTCAAACTGAGACTATTTTAAGGTACAGTACATAAGGTGATTTAACATTTTAACCTTGCATTAAATCTAAACAGCGTTTTTTTTTTTTTTTATTGAATTGTATATTCAAGTGTAGCACTCCAAATAATAACAAAAACATAAATATTTTCGAGGACTGGAGTAAAAAAAAAAAATCTGGTACGCGCATCACACGACTTTCACTTACCATCCTGTTAAGTATTTTCAGACAAAGGAGAATTTAAAGTAAAAATTATTGACGCTATATTTATTTACAATTCATTGTGTATATTTTTATTTGTTTAAATTCCTTTATATATACAAATATTAATTTTTATATCGCTGTATTCTATACAATTAAATATTAAATAATACCACCGATAGCATTTATGAAAACCACATATTATGTATATGTACATAATATTGACGGAGTTTGTATTATATTAAGTTCATGTTACGTATGGAAGCCTGTTGTAATCTTTCGGGTAAGCTCGGGCAAGGTCGTTTTCCTTTGGTTCCTCAATAACAACTATTCTCAATTTCGATTTACTCAGCCCTGATGATGGCCTGAACTTCAGGTCGAAACGTCGGCAAATGACAAAATAAATATTATCATTTATTTTGCCTTCTTATTTGACTGATCACCCCAACTATTCTTCTCTTCATTATTCACGACAGTCAACTATTTAACAACTATTAACAACTGTTCTCCTTTACGATCTGTTATCTCTCTTTAGTTACTTATCAAATTCTTTCATATTTTATATTAAATCATTTTTCATGATATAAATTCATGTGGAATGATCAATTGTTTCAAATAAAAAAAATTAAAGGTACTTTAGGGGAAGTTAATATTGAAAATTAGTCATTTAAACCCCGCTAGAGAACATCAATAAAAAAAATAATTATATTTTATTTTAAACTGCTTAATTTTACACTTGTTAAGGTCACTCACTGTAGCCCTTAATTTAAGTGCATCAAATAGCGCACACCAGTGGCGCCATCTATTGGCCATTATGACAGTGCCATCTAGTGGCTGAAGAAGTATAACCCTGCCTGGTGACCTGGGACCAGAAGGGCCAAAGTACAACACCAGTGCCTACCAGTTCTAGTCTGAGACTGCCAGCAAAATGGTCTCCATGGCCAAGCATGTTAATATAAAGTGAATTACATGTCTAGCTAGACCAACACATAGAAGAGGCGGCATGGATGCCAGCCAGCACGTGACAAGACATAGAAGATGCCAGAACACAGTACCCACTCAGATGAAACAGAAGCCAGTCTCTCAATGGAGAATTCAACATCATCATCAACCAGCCAGCATCTTCATTCATCTGGTCAGCCCATATTAACCAATAGTTCACTAACACAATAACCCAAATGTAAATCTTAAACCCCATCAACCTCTGTTTATTTCAATCTATTATTAATCAATATATTTTATGTTAAACCTCATTTTTCCCTTTTCACATTCCACATGAACACCACCTTCTGATCAAGTAATTAGCATCCAGATTTGATTTCCCCTGCTTCGTGATTAGGGAAGGCCTGATGTTCCCAAACAACACGGGTATGGTGAATTTAATCAAAATCGTTGAAGCGGTTTTTGAGATAATCATAAAAATGTGTTTAGTGCATTATATAAAGTCCACTTCCGGTTAGCCGATTTTGACGAAAAAGTTGCTGTAACATCCCTAGCATACAAATACCTTAAATGTGTAATTTCATTTTCGTACGACTTTACGTTTTTGAGCTAAACTGTTAACACACACACAGACAATTTTGCAGGACTTGATTATTTGGACTCAGGTGACATCAAATCGTGCATATCCGTTGAAAACTCAGGTTAAACAATTTTTACAAACACAATACTACATTTACATGATCTACTATCAATCTATTAAAAATTAAAATCTATACATGTATATATAAAAGGTGATTCCAATTATTGGACTAAACTTTTTTTTTTCAATCATTAGGAATATGCTAAAAAAAATTAGCATAACACCTTCAAAATTCATAAAAAGTGTATACTTTTTGAGTTATTCAAATTTTACCATCCCTCGTAACTTTGTTTCCAGCTTCTTTTCGTTGAAGTATGTTATATAGATAAATTTAAAGGGCATCAAGAAGTAGACTTGATATATAGACTATATGACCAAATTAGGTGACAGGACCAAATTCACAACTTCAGATATATCTATCTATCTATCTATCTATCTATCTATCTATCTATATATCTATCTATCTATCTATCTATCTATCTATATATATATATATATATATAGATATATCTGAAGTTGTGAATTTGGTCCTGTCACCTCCTAGTCTAGGATGGTTTGTTGAATATGTAATAGGTGGGCAGCACAACTCATTTGTATGAGGGTTATCCACGAGGACATATAATCAACCGAGCCTACATTAATAACTAGTTCCCTGTTATTATATTTAGTTTGTCGTAGGTAGATATATATATATATATATATATATATATATATATATATATATATATATATATATATATATATATAGATATATATATATATATATATATATATATATATATATATATATATATATATATATATAATATATATATATATATATATATATATAATAGCTTGTTATAAACTGTTCGAAAACTCGGAAACGTAATACAAAAATTTCGCTTCTTCATTAGTGAAG